TTATTTTTGCATAGACTAACTACGATTGAATATTTTGGATTTTTAAAATCCAATTTATTTTAATTTTTGGATTTTCAAAATCCAAAAATTACAAAATAAAAATCTACAAATTTGGACTCCAAAATTTTTTTTGCCTAAATATAAAATCGACAAATGAAACGAAGTGTAAAATTACTACACAAATTTTATATTCTGAGTCAATAATTAAAAAAAAAAAAAGTTAGCACAAAGTTGTTCAAATTTTTGCTCTTTCCAAAAATCCTCAATTTACTTTCGTGAAAAATTTGAAAACTCGTTGTTTGCCCTATTGAAAATTGTGTGTAAACAATTTCGGACCTTTAACGTTCAAAATAGCTTACCGACATTGAAGGTATGTAATGTTTTATATTTCAGATCCTAATGATCCAAAAATAGGGAAATTTCAAACTTTGAAGGTCCGAATTTTTTTTTTTAGATTTCGGATCCTAAATATAAAAAAATAGGACAATTTTGGACTTTAAAGTTCCAATTTTTTTTTTTCTTTTATATCAGATCCTAAAAATAAATAATAAAGAAATTTTGGAAAAAAAACTTCTAGGGCGTCTAAGAATAGGTATAAATGTAACATTCAAAATTTTGAATGTAATGAGTGAAATTTTTTGATAAAATTGAAATAATGCTTAAAATAATATATATATATATATATATATATGTAATTCATTCATTCTATATATAATTCATTCATTCTATCATCTCTTGTTTCATCTCTCATAAATCCACTATTAGAGAAAGAGAAACAGAGAGAAGTCAACTTTTTATAGAGAGAGGACAAGTCAAGGTTCTAGAGAAAAAAGAAAATTATGGAGTTAACTTTTTCAAGTGAGAAAGGGCGACGAGGTCAAGGTGCCTCCATTCATATGGTCCCTCCCTCTGCAACCTGTTCTAGAGAGATGGATTTTGGACCTAGGAGTTCAGAAGGTGAGCATGAATTTGAAAAAATAAATTTCAAAATAACAAATAAATTTTTTTAGTGGTTATAAGTGGATGTGAAAACCTAAAAAATTCAATCATAGTTAAGTCATGTAAAACTAAATTTTAGATCTTGAAAATTCGAAAAGGACAATTTGATAATTTTTCTAAAAATATTGACAAAATGTTGTAATAACGGATATAAAATAGGTATAGTAATAATGGAAACTTTTAGGTAAAATTATAACAATGTTTAAAATAGTGGGTATGTATTCGATATAGTGACTATCCAAAATCACCCAGATAAAAAAATCTTATATTATGTGGGATTGAGATTGATATTGATGAGTTTTTTAAAGAAAATAGAAATCCAAAAAGATCAGGACTCTAAGTTCTTGAGATACATATAACACCTATAGGAAGTTTTCTAATTAGTGTGGACTCTTGACTTTTATATAAGGTTGCAACCTTAAAATGTAGAATTACATATGTACCTCAAAAATCCATTGGAAAAGGCTGTTTTAATGTTGGAAAATCCTCTAATTGATCATCTCAACATCAAGATGTTGGAATATGAAAAAAAAAAGAAAAGATTTTGAGTACCAAAAATAGTGCATGTTGCGACACATTATCAAGACCGTCCATTTTCAAGATTTTCATATATTTATTGATATACTTGATTTTAACCATTTTTGGAGTTTAAAATTATATAATTAGATATGAAAATAGATTTTGAAATAATCCTAAGAATTTTTTACACCAAAATTACATA